ATTCTACTATAAAGACACATGCATACATATGTTTATTGCAGCACTGTTCACAGTAGCAAAGACTTGGAACCAAGCCAGATGGCCATCAGTGATAGACTGGATAAAGAAAGTGTGGCACATATACACCATGGAATACTATGCTGCCATAAAAAAGGATGAGTTCATGTCCTTTGCAGGGACATAGATGAAACTGAAAACCATCATTCTCAGCAAACTAACATAGGAACAGGAAACCAAACACCACATGTTCTCACTCATAAGTGGGAGTTGAACAACGAGAACACATGGACACAGGGATGGGAACATCATATACCAGAGCCTATTGGGGGGTGGGAGGGGTATGGAAGGGATAGCTTTAGGAGAAATACCTAATGTAGAAGACAGGTTGATGGGTTCAGAAACCACCGTGGCACCTGTATACCTATGTAACAAACTTGCACGTTCTGCACATGTGTTCCAGAACTTAGAGTATATATATATACATTTGTTTGTGTGTGTGTGTGTGTGTGTGTGTGTGTGTGTGTGTGTATGAAGAATAATAAAAAAGCTTTGTAAGAATCTAAAAAATAAATACATATCACATTTAAAAAATTTTCAGGCTGTTTTGAAAGTATGTTAAGTCAGCTGGGCGCGGTGGCTCACGCCTGTAATCCCAGCACTTTGGGAGGCTGAGGTGGGCAGATCACCTGAGGTCACTAGTTCGAGACCAGCCTGACCAATACGGTGAAACCCCCATCTTAAAAAAAAAAAAGTATGTTAAGTCTAAATATTTGAACATTTACTTTTATATTCTGACACCTTATTTTTGATATGTTTTTGATCTCAACTTAACCCAGATCAATTCATTTCTGAAAGCCAACAGCTTTTATAACATATTAGAAGCAAAGCTCTGAGCAATATGAAGGCTTCCTGTTATCTTGCTGTAGAATATCAAGAAGCACTGTGAGTTCCTTTTGCTAGGTTGTGTTCTGTACAATTAAACAAACTAGCCTTTAGTTATTGAGCTAAACAAAAATAAATTAGACTTTACTCTTTTGACTTGATGGGGGTAGTTTTTTAACTCTGACAAAGTATAGTATGTTTTTAACTGACATTTTGAACATTAAACATAAAAAGGCAGTGTAACTATGTTAAACACTTTAAGCCCTTAACCATAATTGCCTTTGGTTTTTTAGCTTAACGTTTTATCTTTCATTGCTAATGGGCATTTTTACTGAAGTCGTTGCTATCACTAAAAGAAACAAAATTTCATTTATATATTTATTTTAGAGCTAAGGTCATGCTCTGATGCCCAGGCAGGAGTGCAGTGGCATAATCATAGCTCACTGTAAACTTGAACTCCTGGGCTTAAGTCATCCTCCTGCCATAGCTTCCTGAGTAGCTAGGACTACAGGTTTGCACCACTATGCCTTATTTTTAAATTTTTTGGTAGAGGTAGGATAGAGACTGGTCTCAAACTGCTAGCTTCAAGTGATCCTCCTGCTGCTGCCTCCCAAAGTGCTGGGATTATAGGCATGAGCCACTGTGCCTGGCTGTCATTTTAATGCTAAACTAAAAGCAGTCTATAACGGTAAGTTCCAACAGTATAAATTTGAAATGTTAAAAAGCCTCTTTTCTCCTTATTATTGTGATATTATTTAAAATCTGCATATGTAAAACTCAACACAATATTATTAGGTGGGAGCAAATGTAATTGTGGCTTTTGCCATACATGTGCATGTATGTAATGGCAAAATTATGGCTTTTGCCACATATATATATATTTTAGGAGTAGGAAAAGCTGCAATTATGTTTGCACCAACCTAATATATGTTTTTGTTCTAGTTTTTTTACTAATTGAAGCTTGGATATCTTTCCATATTTAGAACATCTGGATTTTTTTATGGAGTCTCCTCTGTGCCAGGCTGGAGTACAGTGGTGCGATCTCAGCTCACTGCAACCTCTGACTCCCTGGTTCAAACGATCCTCCTGCCTCAGCTTCCCAAGTAGCTGGGATTACAGGCCTGCGCCACCACGCCTGGCTAATTTTTGTATTTTTAGTAGAGATGGGGTTTTACCATGTTGGCCAGGATGGTCTCAATTTCCTGACCTCATGATCCACCGGCCCCAGCCTCCCAAAGTGCTGGGATGACAGGCATGAGCGACCGTGCCTGGCCAGATCTAGATATTTTTTATTGGAGCTTATTGGTATTTTATTGTTGGTTATAGATATACCAACATCTATTTAGCTTATTCTCTACTAATAGATACTTAAATTTTAATTTCAAGCAATTTTGCAGTGAATTTCCTTTTGCCTATTTGTAAATTCCTATCAGAAAATTGCTGGGTCACAGGGCATGTGCTGTTAATCTGATAGGTAAAACAATGAGAGCTTGTATATTTCTTGAATTTTAAGTGAAGGGGTTGGGCACCAATGTTATGATTTGCCATTTTTCCCTTTTGGCTGTTAATATAATTTGCCCATTTTTCTGTAAGGTTATTATTATTGATTGGTATGAGCTCTTTATAAATCTAGCACTTTTAAATGCTATACTATATTCAGTATTACTATAATACCATAATAATCATACATTTCTAACATAATGCTAATTTCATTCATGTATTTTTTTCCTTTATTTTATTATTTATTTACTTATTTATTTTTGAGACGGAGTCTCACTCTGTCACCCAGGCTGGAGTGCAGTGACGTGATCTCGACCCTGCAACCTTGGCCTGCTGGGTTCAAGTGATTCTCCTGCCTCAGCCTGCCGAGTAGCTGGGACTACAAGCGTGTATCACCATGTCCAGTTAATTTTTTTTTGTATTTTTAGTAGAGATGGGGTTTCGCCATGTTAGCCAGACTGGTCGCCCACCTCGGCCTCCCAAAGTGCTGGGATTACAGCAGTGAGCCACTGCCCCGGCCATTCTTGTATTTTGTTAACTGTGGTTGAATTGTTTTCTTAGAATAAACTTGATATAAAATGGGTTTAAAGGCTGTGAATTTTCTCTTACTAATATAGTCACACAATCTGAAATAATCACATTTATTATTTAATAAATATTTAATCTATTTCAGATTACATTTAAAACAGGCAAGGATGCAAAGATCGTTTATAACCCAACCGCTAAGGACAGCCTCCATTGTGAGCCTTTTTGGTCTAGATATCTTTCCAGTGTTTTATTTTTTTAATGTAAAGCCTGTTTTTTCCCCCCTCTTAACATATATAGGGGGGCCGGGCACGGTGGCTCAAGCCTGTAATCCCAGCACTTTGGGAGGCCGAGGTGGGTGGATCACAAGGTCAAGAGATCAAGACCATCCTGGTCAACATGGTGAAACCCCGTCTCTACTAAAAATACAAAACATTAGCTGGGCATGGTGGCGCATGCCTGTAATCCCAGCTACTCAGGAGGCTGA